GCCCCCAGAGGATAGTGGCAAAGTCGAATCTGACACTAGGCTCCTTTTGTGGTTAAGAACCAAACCAACAGACTTGCCAAATCTGTACTTTGCTGTATACAAACAGGCCTGTTTTGTTATGGAAGCAGCTTCTTTCCAGGCCTTTTGGGACTCTAAACAATGACAACATTTTAAAGGGATGTTTGGCTTTTGGAACATCCAGCTTGCTTAAATTGCTTTTTTAAAGCCCCCATCCCCCACTACATCTCCAGTTTTGTTAAAAGCAGGAGGTTTTCATTTCAAAGTGGTAGTTTTATATATGTATAATATAATATAATATATTAATATGTTATTAATATATAGCAATATAATATGTTAATATAACATAATATATTAATATTATATATACGAGGAAGAGTATCTCATTAACCTTTTATATGGATCATAGACGCTTTTGGTCTATTCTGATTGCATGTTTTTCATTTTTTTGTGTGGAGTTAAAACTTTAGATTTTGGGGGCCAAGTCTGATTAGCCATAGTGGGTTAATATGGAAGACTAATGGCTCTTTTTCTCTCTTTATCACCAGAAACTGGTTGCTCAAATGAAGCAGGATCCACAGGTAAAATACTACTTTTATTTTTTTTAATTTTTAAATGAAAACAATTTAAAATAAAGTAACCATAACATACTAAAATACAGACCAGCACTTAAGTTTTAAAAACTATCTCATCTCTGACAGCAATTATTTTTAGCATATTGGTTTTCATGTCATAAGGGTTGAGAAAAATCCAGTCATTCTATTATAGTGTAGCTATTATCATTTCATCTTTGTTTCATCATCACTTTATATTAATTGCTTTGAGTATTTGGGAGAAAAATTGAGAGTTAATACTCTTCATGTAGCTTAAATTCTATTTCCATAAGCATACTTATTTAGATTCAGAGTTTATGAGGCTTTCTGTAGTCTCCGAATTATTGTATATGGTCCAGAACCATTCTCATCTTGTCATAGTTTATAGTACAGAACACTTAAATACTTAACTCTATGGCTAAATAAGTTCAGAATAATTTTTAAAAATCTTAAAAAAATTTTTTATCTTTGAAAGAGCCCTTAAAGAGGGTTTTAAAAGTACCTTATGTAACAATCCAGCAGATCTTACCTTCTTTCTAAATTCTCATAGGAGTTTTTGACTTAGGCATTTTATTCTCTGTCCCTGAAGAGAAATCTTCCTCAAATGTTATCTGGTCTTTAGGGTGCCCGAGTGGCTCAGTTGGTTAAGCACCCAACTCTTGATCTCTCCTTAGGTCTTGATCTCAGCTCAGGTCTTGATCTCAGGGTCAAGAGTTCAAGCCCCATGTTGGGCTCTGTGCTGGGTGTGAAGCCTACTTTAAAATAAAAAAGTTATCTTGTCTTTGATGATTATATTTATTGTTCAGGAAGTGTCTCCTTTGCAGCCGTTGTTAGTGGGTCATAAGTTTGGAGAGTATCAGACCCTCAGGATTTGTTTACCCATAATCTGTTTACAGAACACTTAGATCCATTATATATATATGTAAATATATCTATATATATATGTAGATATTTTTAACTTGTTAAACATACCATACATGCCTTATTGTAAAATTAAGAAAATAAGTTTTTGGTTGAAGAATGGTACTGAAACAGATTGATTTTTGGAAGTGGGAAATATATCCATTTCTACAAAAATTTAGCAGCCGGTGGCCTGTCGTGTTTTAACATAATCCATTGGCTTTGAGAGCTAGCGTTGATAGCCCATACTTAACTCCTGTTTGACAGTCCAACTTCTTTGAGAAGCTTTTCCATCTTTATTTATTTTTTAAAGTATATAAAAATTTAAATTAGATGTAGAGAATCAAGAGGCAGTAGACCTTAGATAAGTAGTCTCTTTTATATTTAATATGGTAACTTACATTGTCAGCAACTGAAATATTATTAGAAAATATTAGCATTTCTGATATAGCTGGTGGTCCTGTAACAGAGCAGTCTTAACTCAGAGAATCTGAGGGGGGCAGAAAGTTGTTGAACAATCTTATGAGTGATCTCGTTAGAGAAGCTTTATATCAAATACACTTATAAAAAAGACAACATAGAGTAAACATAAGGGGGGGAGGATGTATGCCCTGACCCTGGCAGAAGACCAAGCAGGGGTGAATTGAAAGAAAGTGTACAAAACAATGAAGAAAAATTAGTCTTTTATTGGAGTGATATTTAGTCTGTTAGTAGGCTGTCCTTCTACATTAAGCATTTGAAAATTTTAATTTTGGATTTTTTCCCCCACTTGAATAGAAAGCAAGCATGTGCAGTGTGTATCTCATCTAAAATAGTATTCCTTTTTGATTCCTAGAATTTTAGAACTGAGAAAATACCCTTGTAGTCAGTGTGTTAATTTGAATGATGTAGTGTTAAGGCAGGTGCAGCACTGACAGCTTTTCAAACCTAGGCTAAAATAACAAATGTGCTCTATGAAATAAGAGAGAGGGCAAGTGGAGGAAAAACTCTTATCTTTATTGATAATACCGTTAAGCATGCGGTGTATGCATACTTACAACTTCCATTTTCCTGCTTTTGTCTGATTAGCGAAGCTTTAGGTTTTTTGTCAACTGATACTTTCTATAAAGAATAACAATATTTCAATAGAAAGGAGTACTATTACTGTGCAAGATGCTAAAGTATAAAACTTCTTGTAGTTTGAAACAATTGCAAAGAAACTGCCCCTGTTCCAGTGCTAGGAGCTACGTTTAGGATTTGTCCATTAGGATTTCGGTGGTGGTATGACTGCAGTTTAATGCATGGCAAAGTTGATTGGCTAAATGCTTAAGATTGCTTCTTCATTTGTAATACAGTGTGCATAAGTCTTCTTGCTACTATTCTGTTAACAAATGAAATATCTTTCTCACAGATATTTTTTCTTTCCAATCAGAATGCTGATTTAAAGAAACAGCTTCATGAACTCCAAGCCAAAATCACAGCTTTGAGTGAGAAACAGGTAGGGGAAAAAGGAGGGGGGGCATATTTTTAACATTGTGTTCTAAAGATATGTCTGCTCGAGGCTTCTAGGAGAACTGCTATTTTTCCTCATGTGTGAAAATAAGTGTGGGCAGCCAGACTCAGTTTTAATTTTGTTTGAGCTCTGTTTATCTATTTTTATTTTTGGTTGAAATCAGCGTCTAGAGTATCCCATGGGTATATGTTACTGGCAAATATCTAAAAGCAATGTGCAGGCTGCTGTTAACTGTGTTAATTAAACTCTATAGCTTACCCATAGGGGAAAGAGGTAAAGAAAGTTAGTGGGAGTATGTGATAGAGAATCTTGTAGTTACTGGATGTGTCTTGTTAACCCGTTTTAAAGGCTTGAAATGACATTTAACTTACTGTGGAGAAAATGGTTGTAAATAAATTACTCTAATTGTAGGTCTCCTATTCTCATTATCATCATACCTTTATATTCTTCTTTATTAGATAGTGACCTATTATGTAAAAAAACTTCGGCGGAACCTTGTTAGCTTTATTTATATAAAAAGCAAGAGAAGAGCATCTTGCTTTTTTTCCCCAGGACATCTGGAAAGTGTTCTTTGGGATTTCTTGTGTAATGACCTCTCCTTCACCAATTCAGGCAGCTCTTGCCACCAGGTGGAGTGTGACAATTGATAGAGCTCTAAGTAAACGTCTGTGGTGTTCCGACAAAGCGTTTGTGTTCTTATTCCTTCTCCACCACCCTCCCTCTGGTGAAAAGGAGCAGTTTTCTGTCTTGGAGTAGGTGACTGTGTGTGAACCAAAAGGATGAGGTGATTTGCAATCGATAGTTCCTGCTAGTGACATGTTACTGAAGATTTTTGACTGAATAGTTCTCAATAATTGATTTTTGTGTGGTTTTTTAAACTTTTATTTCGTGAAATAATAGTAATAAGAGTAATTTACTCTTGGACATTTCTGATTGCGTTTGTATTGTGTGTTCTAAGGGGCGAAAGAAATTTTGAGAACTATGTGGAACAGATACGAGTCACTAATGGTTCAGAATAGAATCTTTATCCAGGCTGCGTGAACGATGGCTTTTTTTCTCCCCACTCCTGTTCTTCTGCTTCTGCGTTTCCCCATCTTGTCTTCTCCAGAGACAGGAGGTATTTTAGATTAGGGAATTGCCAAGCTAAAATTGGGAGGAGGTAGCATGGTAGAGAACAATTTGTAAGGAAAAAATATAAACAGAGTTTGTTAGTATGTATTTGGCTCTGAAAGCGATTCAGTTCTCTAAAATCAAAATGATGTGTGTTAGTGAAAGTGTTCTAGCTTTGGAATTCTGTTAGCACTGAGCCGCCTTATAGTTTCAGGGTTAGTTTGACAAGATGCCAATGAATGACTCACTTTTGCTGAAAAATGCACGTGTTCCAGCAGGGAAAGAAGGTGAGAACTGATTAGTGGAGTAGGGAGTGGGGGATGTTGTCACAAAGTTAAGACAACCACCTAAGGCTACATTTGGGGAAAATGGGGCAATTGAAAAATTGTATTTATTTGAAATTATTGTTTGTCAGAATTGATGTAAAGATTTGGTTTATTTTTGTATCTTTTTATTCTTTAATTTCTTTTTCATACTAGGGGCCTCACTTAATAGAAAATTGCAACCATTTATGTTTATGTTCAGTAAGACATTTCGTCAAGTGGCAGACTCTGTCATCTGAACGAAGTTTGAGTTTTAGAAATTAGAATCGTAAAAAATGGGCCTGGCATCAGGAAAATCTTAGGTATAAAAGTAAAGAGAACAGAGTCAGAAGCTAAAATGCAATCTTGGCAATTTTTAAAAATTTGCTTAACTCTTAAAACAACCTTTTTGATAGAACAGAAAACATAACATTTTTAGGTAAGCTAGTTCTTGAAGGAAGCACAGCAATAAAGTTCAAAAGCTGGTCCTTCTTCAGACTTATTTCCGACACAAAACATTGATAATTAGTTTAAAATAGTTTTATTTTACAGCAGATGCCTGATGTTGAATGCCTAGCATTTTTCTTTTCCTTCTTAAAAGATCTACTTAAGCCTCTGGCAAAACACTGATTTGCCTTTTACTTTAATAACTAAAATCTGAATTACCTTACTCACATAACAACTATTTTAATTTAATATTAATTTTTTTTGGTTGTGAGAGAAATGCTAAATATAGCAAAGTTCAAAGAGTGCTATATTCCAGAATTAACTACTATTAATCCTTTGTCATTATTTGTTCTTATTTTTTTATCTGCATGCACTTCTCTGCAGTCATTTTTTTCTATATCCACTAGAAAACTTAATTTACACAAGAAATAGATGCATACATTCTTTTTTTTTTTTTTTTTTTTTTTTTTTTTTTGCTGTATTAAAAAAAAACAAACCATTGCAGATAGTCATTAATTCTTACGGTGGGCACTTACTAGTTCTTATTTGTTATTGCTACCTCAATCTTTGGTAATTTTTCAGTTTCCTCCTCAAGACTAATTGTGAAATGTTATGCTCCATTTGGGAAAATATGCTTTTTAGTGAGCATCTTTCATGACTAAAACTCAGTGAACTTCATTGAGTTCTTGGTGAGAAAGTTCCATTGTTTTCAAACTGCAACTTGAGATTTCTGAATAAACTCTCCATTGCAGATTTTGAAGTCAGCCCCTTGACCCGCAGGGCTTTAATTTGCGGTTGATAGTTTTAACTCGGGAAATCTCCTGACTTGATTGGCTAAACAAATTATATGTTATGGAACCATTAAAAGTCATGGTTTCAAGAATATGTTAATGATCCAGAGAGTGCTCGTGATAAAGCAAGTGAAAAACACATCAGCTTCCTGTGCATTACAGTCCTGGTTTTTAGTGTGTTGTATGTATATATATGTATGGAGGCATGTAAATACGTGGAAAACAGTGTCATGAAACGTTGGGAGGTGATGAATTTACGGGTAGTTTATTTTTTCTTTATAGTCTTAGTATATTTGCTTTATTCTCCACAATGAATATGTTTTCTTTTTATAACCAGAAATAGACAAGAAACATTATTTTAAAAAATTTTAACACCAAACTTTTGTCTGTTTCAGGGAGAGTTAGCATTTAAATACCTAATGACATTCTCCTCATGGTATATGAACCACTCTAATCAGAGAATCCAGCTATTTCAAACACTAGTAATACTGAAGTGTGGAAGCAACTATTAATTTCTTTAACAGAGTTCATTCTCATTCGGCACCCCTCCCTCCTCAGTTTGGCACGATGTGCGGTCGGTCTTTTGCTTGTCAGAATAGAGGTTCTGATATTGGAGTCCCTCCATCTAGCTCCTTTACTCCTTACTCTGCTTTTATTCTGTTTCACTGCAGAAGCAGTCTTAACATCCCCAAATTTGTTGCTTGTCCCTGTGGTGACTCAGGCTTAAGTCATAGAAGTTGCGTCTTTGATTTCCCCTGCCTTGAACAGTTTGTTACCCAACCTCTCTTCACCTGGTGCTCTCCTGGCCGAGTGTTAGGTCACAGCTTAAATGTTACTGCTTCAGAGGACCTGTCCCTTAGACGCCTTCCTCCTGTCAAAATCAACTGTTTCTATTATAATCTCTTATTGAACCCTTCATTTTTCTTTCATAGCTGTGCCAGTTAGGATTAGGTTCAGCTGTGAATGACTGAAAACTAAAAATGAAAATGGCTTAAACAAGGTAGAATTTTCTTTCTCTCTTATGTAAGAGCCCTGTAGGTGTACGAGGACCGATGATAGTGGTTCCACAGTGTCAGGGAACCCAGGCTCCTCCTATTCTGTTGCTCTGCCACTCTCAGCATGAAGCTTCCACATCATAGTCCAAAATATCAGCTCCATCTGGTGAGAAGGGGGAAAAACAACAAAAAGCAAGCCCTTTATTTTTAAGGATGCTTACTGGAAGTTGTATATACCACTTCCAATTAGATCCCATTGGTCAGAGCTTAGTCATGCGGGCCCTGCTAGGAGCAAGGAAGGCTGGAAAGCGTAGTCTATTCCAGGCGGCCATAGGCAGATAAAATTCAGGGACTCTGGTACTGAGTAAGACGGGGGAAAGAAACAATATTTCTGTCACAGTAGCTTATCACCATTTGTAACTACACATGTATAATAATTTTTTTTTAATATAGATCTTCTTCAATAGACTGTTAGTTTCGAGAGGTTTTAAGGAACAGGGGCGCCTGGGTGCCTCAGTTGGTTAAGTGTCCAACTTCGGCTCAGGTCATGATCTCACGTGAGTTCAATCCTTGCATTGGGCTCACTGCTGTCAGCTCAGAGCCTGCTTGGGATTCTCACTCTCTCCTCTCTCTCTCTGCCCCTCCTCTGCTCGTGCGCGTGCGCTCTCTCTCTCTCTCAATAAGTAAATAAACTTAAAAATAATTTAAAAAAAAAGAAACCGTTTTAGGGAACATGTTTGTCTTATTTACTTCTTTAGTCTGAGTATAGTATTTTGTATAATATTTAGCATAAAATAATATTTAGTACAGAAAAGCATTTGTATTTCTTCAGTGAATTATTTTATCCACTTTATCTTTTTCTCTATTTTTAGATAATTTTTTAATTTTAATTTTTTATTTAAAAAAACTTTTTTTTGAGAGAGCATGTCAGTGGGGGAGAGGGACAGAGGAAGAGGGAGAGAGAGAATCTTAAGCAGAATTTGTGGGAGCCTGCTTAAGATTCTCTCTCCCTCTTCCTCTGCCCCTCTCTCTCTCAAAAAAAAAAAAAAATAGTCTTGCTTTTTATGCCTTTTAAACTGAAAGTTTTATGAGCATTTTACATTTTTGAGTGTTTTTTTAACATTATTTTTATGGGTTCAAATATTTAGTGGTCTAGCTAGATTATAATGTAGTTACTCCTCTAATATTTGATGATAGGATGTTTCCAGGTTTTTTGCTATTGTAAATATTGCTGTGATTGACACACTTGTGTGTGAATCTGTTTCTCTCTGACTGCTTTTAGGATAAATTCTTAGGTGTGAGGTTACTGGGTGTATTTGTCAGCTATTGCTGTAATAGTT